AAATTCAAAACTGTAGTCAGCGGCGTATTTAGAATATCGCGAAGGGAGGGGGGCAAGGGTGAGGAGGGCGCCACCTCACCCAAGGAGGGCGCCCTACGGTGGCGAGATAAAAACATCCTTAACCCTCGCCCGCACATGGGGGGGGGGTGGTTGCCACCCCCCCAGGTAGTCTTTCTGCTCTGCACTCAACATTTTTAGAGCTAGAAGGCTGATTTTTCGTATAGCTGCTCCTCTATCCTTTCTTGATGTCCACTGAAAATTTCAAGTTTCTGTGATTTTTGGTTTCGGAGATATGACCTTGTTTTTCAGGTCATGTCATGACCCAAATGGCCAATTCTCAACATCTTGCGTTTGCCATGGGCCTTATGAGCTTTTGACACCCTGATTTCGGCCTTTTTTGCCAGTCTTACCTCCCACCTATCATGGAACATGTTGTTCGACGATGTACAGGGGTCAAGGTCAGGGTCAAGGTCAACCTAGGTCATCTAAGATAATTGCGTTTTAGGCTAGCTGAATTTACTTTTTTTGAAGTTTTTTGACTGCATTTTTGGTAAAAGCTTCTCAGATCATGATTTCATGTAATATGGACCCAAAAACAATCGGTGCACACATCAGTATACACACAGACACACACAGACATACAAACACATATAATTGACCTTGACCTAACTTGACCTGAAATGACCTCAGCAGCAAAGTTCTGGTCGGGTAGTGTGACAAAGAGGTTCTAGCTGGCTTGGCACCAGAAAACAGCATCGTCATCGGTATTTGATAAGCAGCACACTTGATATCCAACGGTGACCCAAAACAGCAACATTTTTTAGTTTGACCTGACCTGGAAGGTCAATGACTGACCTGAGAAGGTAAAACTGGGTATCATTGGATTCGTCTCTTCCCAAAGAATCTTTTTGGTCTTTACTGCTAAGCTCTATCTCCAACAGGAACGAAATGGCGCGGGGGGGGTGGCAACCACCCCCCCCCCCCCATGTGCGTTCTAGGATGGGAAAATGGCATGTGCGGGCGAGGGTTAACGATTGCTCAGGAGGGGGGGGGGGGGCGTTTTTTACCACGCCACCAGCTTTTTTGCGTACCTATGTAAGGAAGGCGGCGACGCGCAGTGCTGCGAAATTTGGTATCGGGTTAATATCACACGCGACAAAAAGGTTGCAAGTGATTGGCATAGGTACCTACCAAATTTCTTTCGACCAAACGCTCTTTAAATGCCGCGCCGAAGTCGCGCAGAATTTTCAAAAAACAACCCTTTTTCTGCTTTTTAGGCACACCTGTTATGTATTCACCGTTCAAAGCTTTTCGTGTCCCTTTAGCAAAGTTGGTGGGACAAAAATAAGGGTTGGTGGAGACGTTCTGCCCATGAGTGACGGTGTAGAAAAAGTTTATTGGTGACGGCATCCACACCAAATCACCGTATCGAATCGACACCGGAGCACGAGATGCGAAAGCACAAACTCACAGCGAGAATGCAGCAGCGTAACAGCAACAATCTTCCGAAATACCAGTCATGATTGTAAAATCAATCAGTTAAGACCAAGACGGGTTTCATCCACGTTAGAGCGTAAATAGCTTTGGTAGGTATACTTCATTCATTGTGCTGAATGCACGTTCCTTTGTGTCAGTTTTCACAGGCAATGCATCACATTGTGCAAGAGAACGGCTATGCTGGGACTGGGAAACATGCTTAAGCTTAACGAGTAGATAAATGATAGGAGGGCAGCGATCAACGGAGGTCGCCAATAGGTAGAAGGGCTGTGATCGACAGGAGAGTGCCAATGTTTGAGAGGGCGGAGATCATCAGGAGAGCGCTGAATAGGTAGTAGGGCCCCCGATCAACATTTAACAGGAGGTTGCCAAAAGGTAGGAGAGCCCCGATCAACATTCGACAGGAAGGCACCAATAGGTAGGCTTGGGTAGCGAGCATCGTGAGGGCGCCAATGGGTAGAAGGGCGGTGAATGACAGGAAAACAGAAACACCAATAGTTAGAGGGCGTTTTTCCCAAGACGGTGATATTGAATAGAAGGACGTCTGTGAGGAGGGAGGACGCCGATCAACAGGAGGGCGCTTGTGATCAGAAGGGCGGTGATCAACAAGACGGCGCCAGTAGGTAGGAGGATGGCTATCAAGAAAAGGTTGCCAATGGGTGGAAGGGCGGCAATCAACATGAAGGCGCCAGAGGGTAGGAGATCTTAACTGATCAACATTCGCCAGGATGGCACTACTAGGCAGGAGGGTGGCGAGCAGCAGGGGGGCGCCAATAGGTAGGATGGCCACGTCATCAACATTCAACAGGAGGGCGCCAGTATGTGGGAGGGCCCCGAACAACGTGAGGGCGTCAATGATCAGAAGGGCGATGACCAGCAAGAGGGCGCCAATAGATACGAGGATGGCAGAAGGTCGGGACACCGATACCAAACCAAATACCAACAATGATCATGTGAAAATACCGAAACCGAACCGACTTGGGAATATGAGGAAAATACCAACTTTTTACCAAATTAACAACCTCTTTTACATTATTGAGGATTCATAGTACCAACAAAATACCAAATAAATTAGCCTTGAAATACCAAATACCAAGTTGGTATCGGTTTGGTATCGGTATACCAAAAAGTTGGTATCCAATTGACATATCTAACATGGAAGGCCTCCCATGTGCACGGCGGCCTCCTGCATACGTTTAGTTCCTCATCCGTTCAGGGGACCTCCTCTGTACTCGGAAGGGCCTCCTCTGTACACTACGCGCCTCCTCTGTACAATGTACATGGAGGGCCTCCTATGTGCAAGGGGGCTTCCTTTGTATCCGTCACGCATCCGCTTTAGATGGAGGGCCTCCCTGTGCACGTGGGCCTCCTGCGTAGCTACGTTTCGTTTCTTCTCCGTTCAAGGGGCCTCCTCTGTACTCGGAAGGGCCTCCTCTGTATACTAGGCGTTTTCTATGTGCATGAAGGGTCTCCCATGTGCACGGGGGCCTTCTGCGTATGTTTCGTTTCTCCTCCGTTCAGGGGCCTCCTCTATACTCGGAAGGGCCTCCTCTATATACTACGCGCCTTGAAGCCTTCTCTGTGCATGGAGGGCCTCCCATGTGGACGTGAACCTCTTCCGTATCCGACACACTTCCGCTTTAGATAGAGGGCCTCCCATGTGCAAGGGGGCCTCCTGCGTACGTTAAGTTCCTCATCCGTTCAGGGGGGACTCCTCTGTACTCGGAAGGGCCTCCTCTGTATACTATGCGCCTGCTCTGTACATGGAGGGCCTCCCATGTGCAAGGGGGCCTCCTTTGTATCCGACACTCCTCCGCTTTAGATGGAGGGCCTCCCTGTGCAAGGGGGCCTCCTGCGTACCTACGTTTCGTTTCTCCTCCGTTCAGGGGGCCTCCTCTGTACTCGGAAGGGCCTCCTCTGTATACTACGCATTTTCTATGTGCATGGAGGGCCTCCCATGTGCACGGGGCCTCCTACGCACGTTTAGTTCCTCATCCGTTCAGGGGGCCTCCTCTGTGCTCGGAAGGGCCTCCTCTGTACATACACGGATGGCCTCCCATTTGCACAGGGGCCTCCTGCGTACACATAGTTCCTCCTCCGTTTCTGGGAGGGCCTCTCTTTGCAGGGACTGGGAGGGTCTTCTGGCACAGCAGAGCCTCATCTTAACATTGTAGAGTGACCCTCAGGAAACCTTCTTTTGCATAAAAGTGCCATTTTTTTGCACGGAAGCCATTAGCCTCTTTCAAGCATGGCTGGTCCTAAAAAAAAAACGGAATAGAGGGCCTGCGGCCCTCTATTCCGAGCAAAGGGCCTCCACCCAGAACAGGGTGGGCAAAAAGATAGTTTTGCCCACCCTGAGATTTTTCAGGGTGGGCAGCTGCCCACCCTGCCCCCCGGAATCCGCCGCCCCTGTATGAAACGAGGCCCTGGTCTACGTCCCTGACCTATGTGATCTCGGCAACCCTGACCTTTGACCTCCACTCTTTTCTGACCAACCAGCGACCGAGTACCCCAGGACAGCCCTTAGTCGGTAATACCGGGACGAGTGTGCTTGAAGGGGCGGTGCGGGTAATATCCGAACCCTGACAGTGTTTGGAGGGGCATTGGGCCATTGATGGGCTCAGTCACCGCTCTTGGTGACAGCTCAGTGAGTCAGGAGTGGGTGAAATGGACGTCGACAGTGAGATGTCTGTCTTCTGTTAGAGTGATAACTCGAGTGGCGCCCGCGTTTCGGAGCGTCCCGTCATGTGAGTGCTAGAAGAGAGAATCTCTCGTGACTTGCTATGTGATTGGGCAGTTTATAGCCGTATGAATCCTGTTTGAAGACTGATGTGTCGTGCATGTTCAAGCTACATCTTGGACTGAATAAAGAGGCCGAGGAGGGTCCTCTGGACTCTGATAGCTACAAAGGTAAGTTTCCACCCTCCGGCCCGGCTCGTCCGGTCGGGTGGCTGCCTGTTGCAGTGGGCAGCTACATTTCCACCTCTGATTCGAGGCTCTGCATAAGTAGACACTTGGCCTAGTTGACCATGCGACAGGAAAGATAACTGGTAACCTAATGGTAAATTAATGCGATATCTGGGTGTCATTTAAAAAACATAAGGTAATAATGCATTTCTGTGTTTTCCGTGTTATGTTTCACTTTATCGTCAAAGATGTACACGTCACAGCATTGCGGCAATGCATACCGCATAAATAACGTCGCTCTCAGGTTCGCAACAGAGCAGCATCATATATACGCCAGACGCCCAGACCATGCTAGCTAATGACGTTCTTGAGCGCCTATGTTAAACGGTCGGGTGTCGGGCTAACTGCACTTCCTTGATCTGTCGCCAGTTTGGAAAGGACCAATCCGACTGCTGTCCACAAAAAAAAAATTATTTGATTTTATATGACACAATACGCTAAACAGTGCGTGAATCCTTACACAAGGACACACATTTACTGATAGGATAGGTAATAGGCATGGTAAAGTGAAATATGGGTCGCCGGTTCCAACTCACTCATCCTCGTCCGGTCTGTAAAGCTCGTCTGACGCCGTTTCCGGCTTCGTTCCAGTGTCGTCATGCTCTCGTTCCTCTTCCTTCTCCTCTGTGATCGAGTCGAAACTGGGGAAGGAAAATCAACACTGTCACCTGACCGGATCGTGGCGAGGCACGGCGACCGGTTCAAAAATCACAACTGCTATTCAGCGTGTCGACATGACATGAGTAACGGGTAAATAAATACGTCATGATTATGAAAGGGCATAGATTTGGTAGATATCGCTCAAGGCAGCTCGAGGGAATGATGTAAAAATCGGGGTTTAACCAGGTGTGCTTGCCTGTGAAGTGATTTTCCCGCATGAGTGCCTTGTTTGCTTTGTTTTCCTATTAATGTTCTCAGCATAATGAGCATCCATAAACTACGACTTTCAAGTAAGAAGGTGCTCTAGAGCAGACATTTATACGGATAATAAGCCAGCGCCAATGCAATTTGCTCACTCCTCTTTCTGTCTTCACGGTCGCCATCGCTCCCACCTCTTTCCATCGGCCGAGTTTCTGCGTCGTTTCAGCATCAATTGGTTCGTCGGCGAGCCACTGGGCGGAGCCACCGTCGGCGGCCGGGCTTCTCCGTTGCTCGGACTGCCTCTACCCGCGGCGAACACGGCGATGGAGGCTCGTCGCCGGCCGGGAGGGCCCGCCTTGGTCGCCCCGGGCTCCTGCAGGGCGAGTTTGTGCGAGGCGAGCACGCGGCGTGCCTCCTCGAGCTCGGCGTGCTCGCGGTCGTAGAGGTGGCGCAGGTTTTCTACGTGCTGGGTCATCACCTCGACGGCGTGTGAGACGCGCAGCTCCTGCTGCACAGCGCCTAGCACCTGTCCGAGGGGCGGGGAGGGGTGGTTAGGGTTTAGACACGGGGCCCAACTCGCACACAGACACACAGATAGCGAGGACAAAAAGCGTCGTCCTGCAGCGACACGTGCGACGGTTGACGGGGCACCGCTGTGCGTCTAAATCAGACAGGTGGCTGCTAGGTCGGCTTCGCCACAGGTGGTTCTCTATTGTGCGCCGAGGTCAGGCTATCGAGCGAGTGACACCCACCGGAGTGGTGCAAACGTCATCGCCCCAAATGTGCCGTGCTGCGGTGAGGTACGGTCTTTACGGGCTGATGGGTTCAACTCTCCACCCGCTGGGTGGGGAAGATAATTATCGTATACATCATATCTTGACATTTAGTGCTGTTATTTATCATGCGCCTTGCTGGTTAATTGATTTAGGGCCCGCTGAAGCAGACATAAGAGGGGTCTATGAGGTCATATTAGCAGAGTTATGGTGATCGGCTTCACCAGTATGGAAAAAGAACCCGGCGTGCCGTATTTGAACCGTGATCCTCTAGCCATGCATTGCCAAAGTGCTGGAAGTGAAATGACGAATTCAGGAGACGCGGAACATGAAACATTTTCACATTGTCATTATTTTATGGCTTATTTATTTGGTCCAGTCCCACTCCGACATAATTTTGACCCAACCTTCTCAGAGTGAGGATCCTCAACCATTTCACCTGTCGACCCTGGCCTACCCCGAGTCTAAGCAAGCTTCAGCAGCGCCGGAGAGTATCTTCCAGTTCCACCCACCTCTGCTGTGCTGGAGAGTCGCTGCGAGATCTGTTTGAAGATCTCCACCTGCCGCTGCAGGGACTTGAGGTGCGCAGGACGGTCCTCATCACACTGACTCAGCTGCTGCTGGGAAAACGACAGCAGAATGACAGTTAAACGGGCAGCGGCAAATAAACAACGATCATTGTAAACTGGCGAAAGGGAAGCGTGATCGATTACTTGTGTATGATGAAGGTTGTACCGTCGTAGGGAAAACGGGTGACGACATGACAATCCATATGATAACAATCCGTAAACAATCGCGTACTGTTCGCCCAAGAGCGGACTTGTCTGTTTTAAAAGTAAAGGATAATCCTCCAGATTTGCATGGTCCATTGGCATGCTTATTAAATTTCTTTCGAAGACAACATTCTCAATCGACAGTTCAGGGATTTAAAAACCACGTAGCTCCGCATGTGCTAGCGTAAATCCAGAGTAATCCATCCTCCACTGACGGCATCAAGCCGCGCCCGACGCCCCGTTCGAAGACCCTCTCACGCCCCCCGACCGCCACCATGCTAGTCTGATCGGTATCAGGTCAGATTGGCCACCGCCGTGTCACATTATAAGTCGTTATTCGGGCTCCGATTGAATCCAATCCACGGAGCCGGGCATTAGGCCGCTCTGAGGGTCCAGCTGATGGCGTTTAAAGCACTGGCTGCAGTCCGGTCCCGCATGAAGTGGACATAACGTTTTGCGGCCGGGACCGAATCTGCACCATTATGACCTGAGCGTGACCGGTTCCCGGGAAAATAAAACGGCAAGGTCATCGGACACCCGCAGAGCCGGGAAAACGTTACAGGCCGCCGCGACCGGTACCGGGACAGCGGTCCATACCCACACCGTGATGACGGAATAAATTGACCATCAGCCTCGGCTTTTGTCGGGATCCTCGATTGTGAGAATCGTGGCTCAAATCCGCCTGAACTGCGAGTTCGTTGTCTGACAGGGAATGAGGGTGCTGAATCCATGGGGGTTTTCATGTTATATCAGTGAACTTTTCCTTTGAAGTAACTGATCATGCGATCGGTGTTTCCAGGAAGGTCTCTGCCAAATAATACTGATCGATGCTCATTGTTCACTGTCTGATGTCCTCTGGTGACAAAAATATAGTAGTTACTAGTTAGGTAAGACAGGATGAAGAAAGAATTAGACGAATCCCTCCTTTCTCCTTTACTTATAATTTCAGCAACTAACCACTAATGAGGCGTTATATTGTATTGATATTATGCTGCGCTTACATCAATTGATGTTGATTAATGATTATTATCAAATCAAGATGTGCCCCTGACCGGGTTTGGTGGCTTTATTGGGAATGTATCATTTTCTGTTTACACTCAGCAGCTCTTAACTTAAACAGTTTAGTTTGATCTGTATTTTAGCACGTACTAATGCACATCTTTTACTAGCACGTACCTACTCTTTTGTTATTGGACATGCGAGGCACTTATATTCAATTGTAAAGATCAAAAATAAATTCAAACTTGCACGTTCAACGCCAAAGAGAAAGGGTCGACTGGCCTAAGCCGTCATTTTTCTGGACTGGCCCACCACGGACAAGCTGCAATGCCTTCGTATTACCGGTCCACTTCATCGTTCGAATCAATTTGATTTCGAAACTCACAGTACCTGATCTCTCTCGAGATTAGACCCGCAGATAAATAAAAGGTGTGGAGTTCAAGTCGTCAGCTCTGATGATTTATCGAGCATCTGTGATGTGGTATATAGCCATGACTCACGACTAATGGTAATGGGCTGAGGCTTGATCCGACGTTTTGAGCTAACGAGTCCTTTTCAAAACAAACGAGTCTGCAGTTGCAGGACTTTTTCACGTTCCCGCAGTGCCAATGCCAAAGGACCAGGACCAAAGGCATGAAAACACGGTATAACGCAATGAAAGTTCGGATCGGAATGTTGTAGGCTCAAATGTTCTAATACCGGAGTCTGGAGGTCTAAAAAAAACGTACACCGGCATTAATGTGCTATTGAGTATGATCGTTTTCGCATCGAGAAAATTATTAATCATGCATAGCAATATTAATATTCATTGCTTAGTTTTTTCTTGCTTACCAAGGCCTCCAGATACGATAAAAAGTTAAAAAATTAGGTAAACATTAACATAAAATATCAATAAAACGTTCAAAGGGACATGGCTTCATGAGGCGTGTTTGAGCCTCTTGCCAACTTTATTACGAGTACTTCATTGTACCCGAATAACCTGCTTGAATATTCGAATGAAGATATCATGAACATGTTATGATGCTATGAAATCAGAACATATCCAATAAATTGAGGCATCAACACCACCAAAGGTCTAACGGAGGCGCCAGAGTTCACCGTCGGTAACGAATTACGATAGTGGCGAAAAACCTCGTATAGTAGGATTATTTGCATTAAAATATCGATTAAATCATACGGGGAACAAGTATCTAAAACTCACTCTCATGAATCGGTGATGTGAACCGTTCCCCTCGACTCTGTACTATCATTATTACCTATACATAAACGCAATTACTGTAACGTTTCTCAATTTAGTTTCATCTTCTTACACACGTCTCAGTAAAAATCTAGGGTTTGGTCATTTTTGGACTTCGCTTGTGTAATTAAAGACTAATGACGACATCACCATGCGTGATCTAGGAAAAGTGGAATGTCGACTTCCGTGTTAGAGATTTCCCTAAAATGATTGTCCATAGATGGCGCCATAAGAAGACGCCTTGTGGGTATACTGTGCCGCAACACATGACATATGCAAGTGTAAAGGCGGCCGCACACAGGCGCATCTCGCCGCCGAGTCTCCTAATGTGCAGCCACGTTCGTGATCAGTAAAGGAGACAATACATATTCGGTAAAATCAAAGCTGTTTCAGTTCTTCTATTTCATGAGCCTATCTTATACTTAACAATGTTCAATGAACGTCGGTCTTAGCGATAAATGTTAAAATGTCGGAAAATATGAATATACTGAATATACGCGATTCTTTACGCGGTTGCCAACGCCCATCCAACATTCGGTCGGTCTCTTTGGTGACGCCCGCCATAAAGAGAAACAGACCATCACATGAGATTATCACCCGTCACTACTGAACCTTACGTAGCTTCATGGGCACTTTGCTCTACTGAGCGTGCACCGATTCTATCTCAGGTGTCGGGTTGCGCTTCCCACCCGTGTGCAATAAATCACCCCCTGGTTTTACGTTTGGAGCGACCTCCAGTGACCTCTCCCACTCCCGGCTGCAGACAATAGCTCGACTCCCCGCATCTCCGCACTGTTCGCCGTAGTTTTCTCCGCGAACCGTAAAAAGCTGCGGGCCGACGGGCCGTGTCGGTGCCGTCTAACCACCGGTTAGCGGCCTTTCATCGCGTGAGACCCGCCCCAGAGTGACGCCTCTCACCCCGGGCGGTGGCCCGTCGGTCGCCCAACAGTGCTAGATGACCTGACGTGACCTCTGTTTGTCACGGAGGTCGTAAAGGGTCGACGGAGCGGCACTGCAGGCCAGGCCACCACGTCATGGAACCCGCCCGAGGCACCGGTTCGGGCAAGGCGGGGTGCGCCGAGGTCTAGGGTAGAATGCAAATTGATAATTTATGCGTGTTTTTAAAATGAATGCAACGCCAATCTTAATGTTAAAGTGCAGTGGACTGTCTTTCTTTGAACAGCTTTAGGCATTGTGGCTCATGCCAAAACGGTAATGCGTGTTTTAAGAGAACGTTAATCGGCTTTCCTGTGACTGATCCTTCCAGTGTGCACGCCAGGGTAATCATTAGCCGATTGTGGAATCTGACTTCAAGATTGTCACCATGTGTCTCGTAAGGAATGGATTTATGTTATCCTGAACGTTAATCTCCAACGCACATGAGGCCAGTCATAAGTCATAACCCGTCGTGGTCCCGCGGCCACATTTCCTGATCCGACCGGCGGCCACGTTATTTGGTCCCTGAACAGAGCACGCTGAAGCGACCACTCTGGTCCGACCACGCTGAACCGACAACCACTGACCACTGGTCCCTAAACCGGCCACCACTGGGCACTGACCATTGCATTGGTCCCTGAACCGACCACCCTGAACTGACCACTCATATAACCTTAACCATGCTGAACCGACCGCCTTTGACCACTGGTCCCAAACCGACCACCACTGGTCATTAATCGGTACCAAAACCGACCAATCAGTTGGTCCCTGAACCGACCACCACTGACCATCAGCTGGTCCCCGAACCGACCACCACTGACCATCAGCTGGTCCCCGAACCGACCACCACTGACCATCAGCTGGTCCCTGAACCGCTGCGTCTCCAGCTCCAGGTTGTGCTCCGCCTGATCCCGGTGTCGCCGCTGCACGTCCAGACGCTCCTGAAGGGTGAGTCGATCCGTCTTGAAGGCCAGCGCCAGCGAGCTGAACTTGTTCTGAAACAGAACCGGGGACGCTGGTCAAATGTGGTTATCAGAGCTGGGCGCGTTCCTCGATTTTCGGTAGTGCGTTAGCGTTCCTGCGTTCCTCCGGCCGCGGTTAGTGCGTTCCTGGAATAACGTTCCTCAATTTTTTTCGCTCGGTGCGTTAGCGTTCCTGCGTTCCTGCGTCCCAAACTATTAACCCGTATTGTATTCTGGCTCTACCAAGCAGCAAATCATACCAAAATCAGTGCAACGCAACACTGTAGCGGACACAGTAGGCAAATCGCGCCAGTCCAACACTACAGGCGTGTTCTTCACAACCGAAGTCGTGGACAAAGAAATACCGCCGAACCACGCGGCGCGGGCCCAACCAAACACGGGGCGAATCGATCACAGAATACCCAGAATGGCGACGCGGGGCCGAAAAGCAACTCGACATCTCTTTTCCGAATCGAATATCTGAAATACGTTTTACCAATATCATCCGTAGGGTTTTCAACAAAAATACGACCTGCTTAAAAACAATAGTTAAGTTGAAAGATGTATCTAAGTAAAAGTTATCATATTTACTTTACACATTTAATGCCTGAAACCGAATCGAATAGTGAACATCACCACTAAATCTAAACAAGCCTTCCTCGATTCGACCGACAAGTGGCGCCTCTACCGGCAAGCACACGTACTCGAGATTCAAACATTTGACACAGAGGTCATTGGCAGTACGCAAGAACGCAGGAACGCTTCAAAATTTCGGGTGGTGCGTTCCTCTTACTTGCGTTCCTTTGAAAAAACTTTGCGTTCCTGCGTTCTTGCGTTCCTAAAAAGGGCGGTGCGTACGTACGGAAGAACGCAGGAACGCACTAAAGGAACGCACTTGCCCAGCTCTGGTGGTTATTGTCGGGCACTTATATGGTCGGGCGTAAGGCGTTTGTATCAAAAAGTGACGGTAACGTTTGTGGTTATGCAAGTGATTGTTTCGATAAGCATTGGTCTTACAGCTGCATTATTGGAAGTCATATTTGTCTCCCTAGCCATACTTGGGCGGGTGATATAGCCGACGTTTACTAACAATTGCGGTAATCTCTGACTGATTTACCTACGAATTACTGGTGATTTAAGTTAAACGTGTAGAAAAGGTTCATGATAGCAAGATAGGTACATGTACAATTATACGTCGGACTTCCATGATTTTCCGCAGGAAATTGCTGAGTTATATCTACCAGAATTTTCATTTCATCACGATGGTTGCAAGACAAAAAGGTGCCGGTAATAACTAAATGAAAGAGTGAATGAATTATATAACAAATGAATAAATGAATGCTGGTAAAGTGGCGATGAAAATATTTGTTGAACCTTTGCTGGATTTGTAGCAAAATTGCATCCTTGATTAGGAAACTGATGGCAGCACAGCCCACGACCCCCCCCCCCCCGCAGTTCTAAATTCTGAATATCAAATCACTATAGTATTGATGACACCACTGACCGGTTTGAGAGCCGTGAAATTAACCGTTTTATTACGGAACGCAGATCTGTTGCCGCGCTGTCCTGAACCGATCTGCGCTCCACAACTTCACACTTCATAAATACGGCTGCAGCCTCCAGGACAAATACGCAGAACTCAACAAACTAGTACTGAGCGTAAACACATCCGACTTCGCAGAGAAAAACCGAAGCAATAAAACCATCACCGGCAGGCGTACCCACTTGGGCGCACTGCCAGACCCTGGTAAGACTCCCACTCGCATCAACAACATGCTAGAATGGCGAGCTCCAAATCTAGCGGGCAGCAACCGCACGTTGATCCCGAGAGAAGCTCTTTGATACTGGAAACGCTGCTAGGGCTTCCCCAAGCGCTGGTCCTTTCTGAGAGAGCGCTAGCTAAGCCGCAATGTACCCGGGTCTACTAGTCCCGGAATGTGACAGACACGTGTAAATACCAAGCAGCTACATGAGATTGGTGCTGTTAGCGCAAGGCCACTGCTGGTGCTGCTGCAGACGCTTGTGTTGAGCAGTGTGCAGTGGCCAGAGCCCCAGATGATGCACACGATGCACTGCAGGGATGACTGCGCACGTTTAGTGCCTAGAGAACCTTACGTGACCGTCAATAGGACTGCAGCATGCGTGCAATGCTTAGATGACCACACGTGACACACTGCGCGACTTGTTATCTCATTAGGTTTATGGACTCGTATAAAATCGAGTTAGTAATAAAATTTGGAATAAAATCGCTAATAATCAAGCATGGCACCTTAAGGAAAATATCCCTCAAATCATCAAATTGAGTTCCTGCGGTAATTCAACAAGGGATCACCACAAAATATTCCTTCAGCGTACCAAAATATCGCAGGGCTTAAACGCAGCGAACCCTTCAGCTATCAAAACAAGCAGTTGCCCGTTAAAACGCCGGTGAGGGTCGGTTGCCGTTCAGACCTGAATGTGTTTGCAGCTGGGGCCGCTGAGAGCATTCCGTGCTATGCGATGCTCCCGATAGCGGTCTCATCAGTGGGGTCGGGCCGGGCTGATCCCCGGACTGAAGGGCTCAGCGGTACTTAGGCGGGCCGTCCACCGGCCGCCGCCGGCCCGTTAATTGATACAGGGCAGTCGGCGTGCCGCACTCGGATCCCGCTCTGACGTCTGTTCTGCCTCATTATACCGGAGCCCACCGCCCCACTGCGCAGACGCCGCCCATTCGGGGATGTGAGTCGGAGCCGGTCACGTGACCTGACGACCTGGAGCTATCGATACCCTGCCGGCTAACGAGCGCACTGCGCCGGCGGGCCGCGTGACTTTGTGGCGGCGCGCCGCATCCGTCGACTCGGCGGGCTGTCTCCGTGAGGTCGGCGGAGGTTTCGTGACCACCCACGGACCGTGCAGGTATCGAGGGGCCTTCCTGCGACCGATGAATGGCCGGATGTCGTGAGAGAGCTGGGGAGGGATGGGAAGGGGAGGGAAGAGGGTGGTTCATAGGGGAAAGTGGGGTATGACGGGCATGTTAGTTTTGCGGGTCTGTACCTCTGAAGTCTTTTCTTCGATTGCTTCACCAATTTAGCACAACCATCTTCAGGCATTTTTCTTTCAGTGCCCCTTTGACACCTAAGGTCTAAATCCAATACTTTTCAATTGAGAGTGTTTTTAGCAAGACCCTGCAAAAACCCGTCTTACCCCACCGGGGAGGGTAAGACGGGCACTGATGTTGGGGCAAGACGGGCACAACGTTAGTTTGAACTTCTTTACATATTTACTGCCGAATAATTATGCTAATACATCTTACACATCTGGCTTTTGATCTTACAGTCAATATTGTAAGGTTCGTAGCATCGCACGGCTACTTATAGGCGTAATGGTATTGATCGATGTAATGAAAAAATTAAACAAATTCAAAGCTGTCTATTTAAATAATTTCGATGGAAATGCGTTGCAAATGATGTAGAACAGCGTAAGTTAGCTTAAAATAACAATATCAGATGGTTTGCATTCCTTTCATCATTGTTGCCCGTCTTACCCCATTCGGCTGCCAATAAGGATATCACACCGCCTCCGGGCACCAAATTAAAGGATTCATTCGCCAGCATACACATTTGGATGACACCCTAAGACGAAACTCTCATCAAATTTCCAAAACAAAATATGAAACAGCGAGGTCAGAAAACACTACGAAACACGATAGTTCTGCTTAGAGTGCAAGGCACGTTTTTAGCTTTTCCACAATTTTTCAAAAACTATTTAAGATGCGTACCTCTGCCTTCACCTCACAGCAAAGAACCACACGGCCGATTACCAACCACAACAAGAGGTTGCTAGCGCCAACGGTTTGGGCTAGAGGGCCGGTGCCCGTCTTTCCTACCCCGCCCGTCTTACCCCACTTTCCCCTATGCTGGGTGGGGCGTGGAGTGACGGCATGGACGGATGGCGGATTGACGGATAGACGAACACAGACCCTTATCTCTCTGCCCACATCAGCCTCCTTTTACAATACGCTGCATCATTTTCTCGTCATCTGGTCATCCGTGCGATGTCAGATAATTCCCACGGGGACTATTGTCAGTGCCGATTGATCGTGTCGGAGCCCGTGTCATCTTTATCCATGTCAGACGATGGGTGGCGTGTTTTTCTCCTTACTACCACAAAGCTGGTTAATTGGCAGTTGGAGTTCAGTTGAGAGGATCTTGCTCATTGAATTCATTTTAGAATAAAATGGCTCACTTGCTTGTTTAGTTTTGTGAATTGTGTTTGATTTGCCACTTTGCAGTTCGGCTTAGACCATTTCAGGGCCGTCGACACGAATAAGCATACATAAAGTGGCAATTACCGCCATAAATAGGTCATGTGGCGTCAATACGTCAGCCCCGATGGATGTGGTGAGTGGTGCTCGCGGCGGCCGTCATCACAACATCACACCTACCCCGTACCCGTGATTTATACCTACACTGCACTATATGGCAGACACATTGCCAAATGGACACTAATGGTTTGGCATTAACAGCATTACAGATATCAAACGCAACGGGCCTATTCAATTAGTTTCGGAAGAGAGCGCTGAATGGTGACCCTCTGTGGTCACCACAGCACACCGACCATGACGGTTCTGTCCGTCCGTTATATGACAGTCCGTTCGTTCATCATGGCAGTCTTTTCAACTATGACTGTCCTCTTGTCCGTTATGACAGTCTATCAGTCCATCATTACAATCTCGTCTGCCTATAAAACGGTCCCGTTGCTCACGAGCCCATGACTAGTGTGGCGTCTGAAGCCCGTGTGCCGCAGCCTGCACTGAAACTATGACCATTTTCCGGGGATCTAGCCGTGACAGCGTGGATCGATAGCGAATACAGTATGTTGCCGCGGCTAGGGAAATCCGTACAAGGAAGTTGTAAGCGCCAGTCGGCAGTCGAAAACATTGAGGATACAAATGTACCACTGGAATGAGTGACATAAGACCACTGGCCAGTGGCCAGGCTATCTTCATATACTCCCAGAGTCCCATGGGTTGCACTATTGTAAATAAAAAGAAA